ACATCTTTTCATACAATAAGTTGTAAATCACTTTTTTTTTCAAATTTTAAAGAAATGATATTTAAAGTATGAAAAACATGAAGTATTCTATAGGGTATTAGTTTATTTTTACTGTTTATTCTGGCATATTCTGCCATATTCCAGCATATTTTGCCATATTCCGTGAAATTCCAGCATATTCCATGAAATTATGGCTTATTCTGTGATATTCCGGGTTTTCAGAACATCCTATATATATAGTGGAAAATAGGCTTAAAGTTAAATCTGTGATTCTGTGGACCACACAAAAATGCTGTCCACTGTCTGCTTAATTTTTACCTAAACCCAATTTTTAACTGCATGGCTTTACTTTAAAACTAGAAATACATGCATGCAGGCTCGCGCTCAAGTGTTGCCATGACAACACGATATTCTTAAATTTTTATTTTCATATAATTATTTTGTACAAAACTGCAAAATAGTTGAAAGATTCGTACTTTTAACTATACAACAATAAGTTTCCGAAATACACACTGTAGGTATATTATTTTACATTTTGTGAGCTTTGATTTAATGTAAAATTGAACTTGAAACGCTTCGTAAAATGTTTTGAAATGTTCATTCAAGTAAACCTACATTTTGCCGATAAACTATTTTTACTTAACAAAACATGGTAATTTTAATACAAATAAAATAAAATTGTTAGGTAATTTCAGTTCAGTCTTCAAATCAATTTGGTCGCCTTTACATGTTAAGATTTTTTCTCAAATTAAACTGTAATTTATGAAACTTAGAGCTTCTATAGTTCATGTTTTTTATTACTTAAAAGTTAAAGCAACAAAATTCGTAAACATTTTAAAAATATTCAAAGCAAACTTGCCGTATATTTCCCGATTTCCCGTAGTAAACCAATTCTTCTCATTTCTTCAAACAAAATTGCTTCAAGCTTGTTGTATATGAAACGATTTTCCAAATATATGTCTTTTAAAATTGAAATCTTGCTTGCCATATCTTTGAGATAAGGATGACCACCCACTCAAGATCGCCCTTCGTTGGTCAGCGCCCGCGATGATTGATGAACTTTAGACTTCGCTAATGCTTTCATTTCCCCGGGTGTAAATAGCCGGGGGGAATTAGTACCCTTGCATGGCGCTTCGCGCCGTCGGCTCGGGGATTACTGTTAAGACAAAACAATAACAACTTTCGGATAAAGACAAAACAATAATTTAGTCCCACCACTTACTGACTAAGACAAAAGTTTGCCCATCCATCGATTAGATATTACCACTGATAAAATTATGTTTATCTTAGTGTTTATTTTGTTTCCCTAAAGTCACATAATTCACAAAGGGTGTACTAGATGTCTAGATCTATATTTAATATAACGTAAATTGAATTTTGTAAATATTTCCTATAAAAAATAGTCAAACCTGTCCAATAAAACTGTAAGAAAATTTATAAACCTGAAAAAAGTCTAAACCTGAAAAGCCTCGAACAAAAACTATATTTAGTATTAATTATTTTATAAACTATAACTATACAGTGAGACAATAGTGTACAGGAATCAGGATGGCAAGATTCTACATGGGTTTAAGGTTTAATACAGGCACAGATGAGGTACTTAATGTATGATACAGGACACCCTTTTTGGCGTTTTGCGGAAAATCGCTACTGCGCGCTCAATATCAGTCCGATTTTCATCACATTTTCACCAAATATTCTCCAGTGCATGCAAAATATGGTAAAGTTGTAAATTTAACAAACAATAAAATAATGTAAGAATTATTCAAGAAAATCTTAAATCGCGGTACCGTTACGCTTTTGAGTTGTGCTCCTGCTGGTTTTAAGTTATATTTATGAAAATATCATTTTTATACAGTAAAATACTTGTTCTAAAAAATTGTGTTTGGAAATTTTTGTTTATTTCGTCATTCCGCTGATATGGCGATTTCTTTGACGACTACAATGTATTTCCGAATTGTTTGAGTGAATTGCTCTTTATTTTTAAAATATCCAAAATTTAAAAAAAGCCGAACCGGCACAATTTTGAAATTGACGTCTGTTGCTATGTCCTGTGAAAATGGGTCGTTCCAGAAAAGATCCATACCCCCCCCCACGGAGGAAATTTTTGCTGTCCGAAGGGGGAGGGAGGAAAAATGTCTTAGGATGTCCGAAGGGGGGGGAGAGGAAAAATTGTCTTAGGATGTCCGAAGGGGGGGAGAGGAATGTGGATATGTTTGTCTGAAGGTTTGAGACTGTGATAAAGCTATGTGATCGGCGATTATAATGAGCACGCAATTTTTATCGGCTATATGTAGCTCTTGAACACTGGAACGTTTATGTAACAGCAATAATTATACGTCCACGTAACTCGTAAGCAAAATAAGCGGCCCACTTTTGCATGCATGGCACCCAAAAACTAACTCGCTGTAACAGCGTATCCTGCATGTTGAGAATGAGTCGAAAATTGACACGCTTTATTTATATAGTTTTCGTTCGTATACTCTCTCCTCCGCAGAGGCTTTAATTGGCTATGAAGGCGCACAATGCCACACCCAATATGGCGGTAAACCGGGGGGGGGCGTATAATTACTCTTTACAATACTGCAACAAGCTGACAAAGAGATTATTTACTAGCTCTACGAAATAAGAAAGTGTTATGTTCAGTTTGTGAGAAAACATCTGCATTTTTTCTAGACAAGGTCTCCATCTACAGTATAAAACAATGCACAGAAACAACGTATTTAGCGAACAGGTTTTGGTTGCAAGTGAAGAAACTTTTATTTAAATTTATATATGACATTTGTATTTTTAGAAATGTGTCCAAAACCGCATAAAAGAAAAAAATGAGTATGTATAGCATACAGAACCATTATTAAATTTATTATCAAGACTGAAAATACAATTCAACTATTTCAACTTCAGCAATATTTATAAACAAACGCGACCTTCAGTCGGTTTCGACCTGATTTATTTGGAGGTTCGTATCTTTGGTTCAATATACGCCATGTAGATGAAAATACCACCGTTCGATTCAGTACAAAAATATCCCCTAGTTTCTATCGATAGTTTTAGCGAATGTCAACATTATAGCGATTTATTCGGCTCCTTGGGACGCATCCTCTTTGTATAACTCTTGTTCGAAAGCGAATTCAAAACACTACTTAGAGTGTTATTTTTGAGCTTGTATCTTGAAAACTTCATCTTTTATTATGGTATTTCCATTCCTGGTCTGATTGTGAACTAAATCCCGAACATCAGCGTATAACAGACGCGTGCGACTGTGCGAGTGAGTAAAAACCCGATATTTTGAAAAATTAAAAATAAATATTTCTACTGGCCGTATTCAAAAGAAATTTTCTACACGAAAGCGCTTGAAAACAAGGAGTATTTTACTTCTTTGACTGGTGGCGAATTCCGAAGAGTTCAAGAAATATTCAAGTTTTTCTCGATACGAAATACAGAATGTTTGGCCAAGCGCTGAGTAAATTTACGATTGTTTGCTTTGTGTATTAAATGTTAAAAAATATTGCTTTTGACCATCCACAAACATGCAAGCACTAGTCAATGAGGTCAATCAATCATGCATTAAATAATGATTTAATATTCAAAAAAAGTTTCTTGTTTAGCTTAAAAATCACCTTTTGTTTCGATGTTTACACTTTGTCCCACTTTGCGATGCAAATCATGCAGAGGCTTCGCACCTTCCTTCGCCTTTCCCTTTGCCGCCTGCACTCCTTCGCCCAGCGGCTACGCTCGTGTTCTAAGATCCGCCATGTAAAGTGTAGTGAAATGTATCTCATCATAATATTAAATCCTAAGAAAACTAAAGCCTCTGCGGAGGAGAGAGGTTCGTATAGATAAGTTTTAATTACCCAAGACAGAGTGTTAAAAATAACAGCTACTAAACTGTTGCTCGAATTAACTGAACTAATTAATGTGAACTCAACTCAAAACAATTTGTTTTAGTATATAGTCAATAAAGCTTCCTTGCGAGGTGCATGTCTAGAAAATAGAAATGGCTTTCATATTAAGGGCGAGGTTAAGGAATGCAGTAATACTAAAAAATGCATTAACATGTAAGTAAACACAGCAACGCTTGTCAATCAGTTGCAAGTTACATCGAATTTCAGTCCGAATTTTACTTGAACGAATTTCGAAGTGAATTTCTGCAAATTATCCGACAAAACCTGCCACGTGTTTGTGTTCGCAAGTCACAAGAAGCCGCCAAGTGTTCCGCCACGGCCACGCCGAAGCTATTTGAAAACAGCGTAGAAAAGTCACAATAAGCCATTGCTAATTCACTCTACTGTACGCTGGAGCGAAATCGGTTCAAAAGTTTCACGTCACTTTTGCCGTAACAATTTGAGCACGGTTTCTAAACGGAGCGAGGTGAAAACGGTGGAGCGCTTGATAGCTTCGTGTGAACACAAACGTGTAAACTCGAATGCTTTTCAGTTAAATTTCTTGGGTCTATTTGAAATATTTTGGGTTTACACGAGTGCTAATTCAATTTGTAAACAAACTGTAATGGCTTTATAGTCTGAACACACGTAAATTCTGCCCGCATTAGTTCGCTTGCACGTAGTGTGAATGTAGTCTAATTTTCGGTGACGTTTTCAAACAGCGAGGTAGCCTTTAGAAAAATTTAGAAATAGTGGATATCCGAAGGGGAGGGGGGTAATTTTGGGCTTTGATGTCCGGAGAGGGGGGGAGGATGAACCATTCAAGGATGTCCAAAGGGGGGGAGGGGGCTATTTTCGATTTCCTCCGTAGGGGGGGTATGGATCTTTTCTGGAATGACCCAATTATATTTGAGAAAAATTGGTTAAAACCCGCAGGAGCATAGTCTGCGAAAGCAGACTGTATCTCGCCCCAGGCGAGATACAGTCTGCGATCAATCAACGCTAATGCCGTACAGCCACCGATGAATAATTTGCATAAATTATGTAATTTTATAATGCTGCACATATGCAAGATGGCGGACACACGAGTGAATGAGTGATATGAAGTGATGATTTATGAATTATTCATGTTTTTTATGCGGTTCTGAACTGATTGACTCTAAAGATCGTTACTTGGTAACTGGGAGAAGTTCATTTGATATTGTCGAAGCCATTCAAAACTTACCATTTGATATAAGATATAATAGCGAATCATACGTGTGTAGGAAGTGTTTATCACTGTTGAAGAAGAAAAGAAATTTGGAACACTCGTACGATAAGTGTTTGAAAGAACTCCAACATCTGGTTAATAAACCGTCCGGCAATCCAGAACCGTTGTATACGAGTACGCCTGTTAAAAAGGCACCTACAACACAACAGCTACCAGTTGAAACAAATACATCGGATCCGCCGACGAGTCAGACGACTGCTACGGTATGTTTGTCAGTTTGTAATTAATATAAGTTGCTTTTACGATAACAGTTTGCTGATTGAAAGAACTTTGAAAACCTACCATAATATTTGTCCGTATTTGTTGTTAGATTTGTGTTTCTTGGCCGTCTCAAACTCGCCGTCATAACCTAGTGAAAGAGCTTGAACCTCTAGGCAAAGCTCTAGTTCGTGGAACATTTACCCAAATTGCAAACACTGCCTACAAATGCAAGCATCTTAGAAAGGAACTGGTAAATTGTGTGCTGCAGGACGTGAGGAAATAATTAATTGGCCTTTGTGGAAGAAAAAACCCATCCAAATGTCGACCATCTTCTGAAAATCCTGTGTGTAATATAACAATAGAAGACATATGCTTTGAGTGGTCAACTAGGGCTCCCATTTTTTATTCGTTTTTGATCACTGCCAGTGTGCCCTCTAGACGTGAGGATGTCAAGTCGGTCAAAACCCTGCCTAGTGTCGCAGTGGCTGGTTCTGTGTTGCTACGAGAGCGTTGCAAGGAAATGAATGCATTACAACACCTCATTAGTATGATTATCATGTTCAGCCCATACCAGGTATATACATCTTGTTTCTTGTTTCTTAATGTTTTGATAAATGTTTTCCAAGTTGTGACACTCATTTGATAAATTAGCCTAAAAATTAGGTTTCGTTGTTTACAAAAACATTTGGCAGAGTGCTCAATGGATATCCAGAGCATAATTAAATAAGTGCAACAACTCAACTAGGCATCTTTATTACTATTAGTTTCGTACCACAAGATGTAGCACTCATCATGATTTATTATATATATATATTTATATTAAGATGAAAATGTTCTAGAGTGTATATTATATAATTTTCATACCCAGCGCAAGCGGAAAGATGTTGTCTGCCGCGGCTGGGTCTTGAACCCACGACCTTCGAATTACTAGATCGACGCTCTACCTACTGAGCTACACGGTCAGACGGATTTAAGACTGGAAATTATGAAATATAAAACATATTACGGATTGTACAATAACACAACTTCCAGAAATCATTTTCATTTCTTCAGTTATAATTATAATTGTTAACATTATTAAATTTATATAGACCATGTTTAACCGCCTTAATTGTATGAGGCTTGTATTGTCTAATTCGACTATGCTGCGACGTATGAACGACTTTGCAAAACTACATGATAACAAATTGTTACTGTACAAAGGAAAATTTGTGGTTCAGGCAAACCAATCAACACCAAATCCTGGCAAAACTTTTGTAATTGATAATTTGGACTTACGCCAGAAAGTAAGCAACATGACGGAAGAAAACCAGAATGTGGACTACCACTGGGTTAATGCTAATCTAATTAACAACAGAGTTTCTGCCAATCACCTTGATGACAATGGACCCATTAAAGATGTTATGGAAGTACAAGTGAGTGATATTTTGCCAAGCCCAGAAGATCATTTGGCTTATGCTAAGAATATCAAAACCCATATTCAAAGAATTCTTGTTAAAAGGGTTCCTTGTCTACAATTTATGCAAGAATGTGTTGTTCATCACATACCACATCCACATCAGAAGGAGATGAGTAAGAAAGCAAACAAGGTTGGTTTTTTGCAATGCACCATATATTTATTTTACCAACTTTCAGTAACTTATGTTTTACATGTATTTGATGCCAGACAAATTTTCTCATCAACGGACAACCATTGAATGTATATCAAAATGTTAACCCATTAAGAGCAGCTCCGCGTAAATATCAACCGAAGTCGTGCAATATAAAAAAATCGAAAATTCTGAAATTTTGTCAGAATAATCTGAAATTTTGTCAGAATAATCATCGCTTATTAACGGAAATAATTTTAAGATCGATTGAACGAATATTGGGGCGGGGGGGAACTCGTCATTGCTGAGAGGCTCTGAGACCAAGGAAATAGGTCGGAAAATAGGGCTGCGCCTCAGCGCAATTTGAGGGGAAAACACAGCGTTGTTGGCCAAACAAAATACATCACGCTAAAGGCAGGTAAATACTTCTGCTCTCTGCGGATTTGCAAGGCAATCAAAATAAAGTAGAATTTTTGACAGATTTTTGAAATTTAATCTTCCTGTCGGACATTTCCTGACACCCAATTTAAGTAATTTTTGAGCGCGATAAATCCAGCATGATACATGTTTTTTTTTAAACTTGTTATATTTTTCGAGTAGAGTAACTCATATCCTCTAGAATGATGCCATAAGCTTTTTGGGAACTCTAAATTTGCGCAGTTGAGAACGGGTTGAAGTACAACCACTTGAGCGCTGAAATGACCTTTGACGCACAGCCGCCGAGAGTGGTAAACACACAATATGTAGCTAAAAGATTATTTTCTCCGTAGAAATAATGGACAAAACGACAACCAGAGTTTAAATCATTCATAAACAATGTAGTGTGGTCAATAGTAGTATCAACATTTGAAGAAAATGTACATTATATGAGTTCTTACCTAGCTATGAGGCCTGAGACTTTATAACAAATGATCAATTACTGCGAGACAGTTCAACATTCTTCAGAATATTTTGGTTACTTCCTTGCCTACATCGTTCCATACAGTCAGTCACATGTTAGGTTGTTGTAGAATTACCAATCGACCACTGTCTTGCCGTTAATAGGAATTAAGAAGAGAATTGTGGCGCGATTTGTGAAACATGGTGTTTGGCAAAATAGTGTATTAAAATAAACCTCTGGTTGAAAGCGGCAATTGATTTGAATTAGGGTCAGATCCCGACTCTGTCTCCTGATTGAATGATTGTATTAAAGCTCTCTGATTGGTTATAGATGTTTTATTTGAATCAATCAGAGAGCTTTAATGCAATCATCCAATCAGGAGACAGAGTCAGGATCTGACCCTAATTCAAACTGATTGGCACGGCTCGATGAATCAATTGCCGCTTTCAACCAGAGGTTTATTTTTCCTCTCCCCTTCGCAATGAAAATAATAAAAATAAACCTCTGGAACCAGGGTACGCTAGACTCCGAAACTCATTTTACCCGTGCAGAGCTATTTTCAAGCAAAATCGAAGGTTGAATTTCGGTAAATTGTAGAGTCGCGCTGAGTCAAAACGCCTGACTATTTCCAAATTTCAACTAGATTAACAAGTTAAGATACAATTCAGGTTCCCTGTTCCAAAAAATAAGAAGAGCATTTGAACAAATCGTGAATAAACGACAGCAACTTGACGGCACACCGGTTCTTGCTTCTTGTTCGGTCTACAAAATTACACTAAAATTGAAGCCTGAGATCTCCAAATGGGGACCTAAAATTACACTGAAATGTGCTTGGCTGTAATGATTTATACTTATTTTCAGAAGATCTGAAGAAAAACCTGCGGGTATCAATCTGTATTTGGCGCGAGTTAAGATTTTCTGAAGCCCATAATCAATGATTTTTGCATAATTTATAGCTAATTAACATATTTCTTAGAGGCGCTAAAAGTAAACAATTTCTTTCTGACTAACATATCTCAGATGAAAGAAACTACCACAGCTAGTAAAACCCTTTTTGTAAATATATAGTCGTAATATTCCTTTCCCGACATGCTGAGAGAGCTTTGTTTTTGAATGTTATGCCACATTCATTCAGTCTGACCAGATTCATAAATGTCACAAACTTGTATATTTCAAAAATATACCAGAATTCAGAAAGACCGATTATTCTTTCCCTGATTCAGTTGATTGATTTAGTTGATTGATTTAAAAAAACTATAAGTATAATAGAACATTCAACGTGTTTCCATTCCCCCTAGGCCTAGGATTTTTATCAATATGTTCTATTTTTCTGTGGCGACGGCATAACAAAATACGACACAAAAATGTACATTCGAATTTATAGCCGTGTTTACACTATGAGCCTAGGCCTAGCTTTGGACTAGATTTTTGTAGTGTAAACACACTTCGACCTGGCCTAGGTCAGGAAATCTGGGCCATCAGAACAGGTGTTCCACATTTCCTAACCTAACCTAGGTCAGGCCCAAAGTGCATTTACACTACAAAAATATAGTCCAAAGCTAGGCCAGGCTTAGGCTAGTAGTGTAAACACGGCTATAATCCTATCCCACCCCCACAGATCGACGATAATTGTCACTTTTTCTTAGATAATTAATAACATCGTTGCCCGCAGTTGAGGATTTATTTTTTACAGATTTTAAAACACTATTACGACTTTCGATAAGGCCTGCTTCTTCAGCACTACGTTTTGTATCGTCCAATAGTTTTTGTCTATTATTATTCTGAGTAAACATTTCCATAAGCGCATTAAATTTTCCCGCATCTATTAGCGTTAACCGTTTGACGTCGTCCCCCATTTTTTTTAGCTGTTCTTGTTTTAGTCTAGTTGCTGAACAGCTTTACGAATATAACCGTGTATGCACATATCCTCAACAAGTGTAAACCTTTTATCCTTTGCAGGACAATGTTTATTGATGATATATTCCATAACATTTCTGTCACCAGGAGACACGTCAACATCTATTTTCTGGTTTACAATTAATTAACAAATATGTAATAAATTTTGGGTAATAGAAGGGGTGATTTGTTCGCCTTTTTGCTCCAAATCTAATTTCAAAAATTTAGTCACGCTAGGAATAAGACAACTTTCTTTTTTCTTGACAATATTTTGTTTTTGTAATTGAAATAATTGCAACATAAATGTTCTTAATGCCTCTTCATCTAATTCATCCGCATTGTCATCATCATCATAAACTATGTTTTCGACATATTCAGTATTTTCGGCATTGGGATTGATCGATTGAGTATTTTCTGCATTGTTAATTTCCTCATCATCACCATCATTGTACCCTACCACTTCAACATTCTCGGGTAATTCATTCTCAGTTATTTCATCCTCAACTATTTCAGGTTCATTTTCTTCAACATTTTCCTCTTCACCCTCATCAAATAATTTGTTATATTCTGCTTCAGCCATATTTAGAAATTACACTGTGAACGTGAATAGTTTGAATATTAACACCTTTACCACTAATAATTTTTGGGTTTGGTGGTCGAGGTCGACAAACGAAAGATTCACTTTTTTTAGGACCGCCTGTTTTTAACTTGTCAATCTTTCCCTTCATGATGAAATATGATCCTGATATATATTAACATGTTTGTAGTTTTTATAGATTTGATGAAGACTACTACCCTGAAATGTTAAAACCAATTTTTAGTATTCCTTTTATTAAAATTTTATTTTTTCGCCAGCAAGAGCAAATCACCATTGTCGTGCTGCTGAATGTTTTATTGCAGGTTTTCGTTTTGTTTGTTTTTTGGCAATAACGTTAGTTCCTAAAAAACCCCAAAGACCACCTGCTTGTTTTTTTCTTCGAGATGTCCTTTTTCTCTTACACACATAACAACGTTGTTTCCCCATTGTCAGGTTATAATACAATGTCTGTTTATAATTTAAAAATCATATTTTAAACGTGCTTGTGTACCATAACCAACACTCAATTGATTTCGAAATTCACCAACGCAAATACTGCCATTTGCATTCAAGCTTGCAGCGTGCGCATTTTTTCGATTAACAAATGATGAATATATTCAAGCTCATTTTCTTTACTTGATTGCGGTGTAATTAATTGATTATTTAAATACGCCAGCTTTGGTTTTCCAACCAAATTTTAAGGGTGCCATATTTACGGAAATACGACGATCAGCAGCCGGTACAGCATTACCAGCCATTGTGTGTAACCTCAATTTTGCATACAATTTAGCATCATTAGTATCAAAAACACTGTAATCCTGACGATTATGCATAAATGTATAAACTTCGGCTTGATTGTCAACTGGGGATGCTATGCAGTGCAGTTGACGCGTTTCCTCAAATGTGTCATTATGGGGAAATGTATCAAATAATGTCATAGGACCCACAAAACCACTATCATGTTCTTCTATAGGCTCCACTTCGGGAGATGTTCTTGCACGTTTCATCTTGGCAGCGATCAAATGAAAAATGAAATATATTTGCTATATCTTAGATATTTAAAAACACACACAATTTATTTAAGAAATTTTTTATTATGCAATTTTTTACAATCTAATAATCATAATAATCATTGTAACGTGGTCTACGTCTCGGTGGGGGGTTATCATTCATCCATGAGGGTGGTGCTTGGGGGTCTATATGTTTGGGGTCCAGGTTGATTCATACTTTGTTGGTTTTTTGGCTTGTTTTTTTACCAAATATACTACCTACTATGCTTGTACAGTATTTAACAACATGGGTAAAGCCATGCCTAATGCAATACCCGCTGCAGGTCCAAAACCGCCAATTTGACCTTTTTTACGGGATAATGTTTTTTTTCTCTCATATAACGTTCTTCTTTTATTGCCCATAGATCAAACGTAATACTTCAGGTGGGTATTGCCGTTGTTGTTGTTGTGTTTTGGGTTGCTGTGTTTGTTTAAGTTCTCTAGGTACTATTTTCCCAACCCTCCGTACTTTCGGATCTGTAGCGTAAGCTGGATTCAGTTTAGGTGGCGCACAAATTTTACCTGCCGCACGTTCTTCAACCGTAGCTGCTTTGCCTGATAACATATATAAACCAATTTTTTTATATTGCTTTCCTTCACCTTCGAGTAGTTTTACATATGCTACCTTATCCATGATGATATAATAAATGAATTTTTTAAATTTTCGTCAAATATATGTAAAGTAATTTCTAAAGATTGTCTGTGCATAACACCTGCAGCTAATGTAAAATTATCACCCGTATAACCTGAAACACATTCTACTATAAATTTTACTTTTTCATCTAAATCAGCAACATTTTTTATATTAATTAAAAATTCAGGTATTTCTTTTTTGATATTTTGGTTAGTTAATGAATGAATTCGATTATTGCTGACTTGTTCGTGCCGAGAAAATAAAAGATATCTTTTTAAAGTATAGTAATGACATTCCCCACCACACCCGATCTTTCCCTTTTAAGGGTACAATTGCAAGTAATGGCACATATGTGTCCCCAACAATTGACATTTCTACTTAATCACAATATATGAACATTTTATCCACACCATTGGTTATATCGGGTGACAATTCACCCATAAAAGAACAGGTAAAATTATTATTACCCATGTTATTAGCTTTATTCATAAAATGATACCAGTTATAACTATTTAATGTTGTTTCATCCACAAATATTCCAGTATTTGTGTAGTAATTTTTCTTATAATCTTCTACCAAGGGGTGGACTATAATTTTTCTTAAACCCAATACATATTGTAATGTTTCACTAATTTCTATTTCTAATTCGTCACCCTCATCAGTATTTTTTTATATGAATGTCAGAATGCCAATATTCCCTTTCAATACTGTAAGTGACACCAATTCTACCACCATTTAATATCGTAAAGAAAATATCATATTCGGAAACGTAAAAATTTAGAGTATTTATTAGTTTTTCTAATGTATAGTAGCCTGGTGGAATATACATCATATCCGTTTTGTATTTAACTTCTATACCCGAATCGGATGTTGTAGGAAAGTTGAGTTTAACCAAAATACCACATTTTTCTTTCTGAACATTTTCAATAGTCAGTGGATACGATATATTTAAAACACGCATGAACAGCTCTCTATTTTCGGCATCCAACAGCGTGGGTAGAGGCATTACAAATTTGTTGGTATAATTTGTACCGCCAACTCGGTTTTTAGCATTGCTAACAATTTGTACATTCATACCGTCTGTAACTCGTTATGGTAGAATATTCCCTTGATCTCCTCACCCTTCAAATCTTCAAGCGAAACGTTACGGGATCTGTTATATACACCTTTTTAATACGAAATTTCTCTTTTACCCACCATCTTAAACTGGATTTTTCAAAAACATTTTTAATTCTTGCTATTCGTACAATATTACCCCCTCTTTCAAGAGCCGTAATGTTGGAACGCTGTTGTTAAGAAGGGTTTTTATTCTCTGAAAAGCACTTGGTGTTTTATCCTTCTTATACACATCAAAGGGTGTCAAATTATATAAACCCCTATGAGGAGACTCATTATATCTTTCAACAATTAGCAGGAGATTTTTAATGTAATTGTATCCTTGATCAAGAGTTGTCAACGATTGACTTATCATCTCCTTGATGGTTTCAATGAAGCGTTCGGCGTGAACCGCTTTTGTTTCCCTGTTGTAGGTGTGAAATAATGTAAAACCATATTTTTTAGACAAATCCCTCTTTAATAATGCAAATTCTGTGCCCTCGCACTTTGTACTTTCAAGGGTATCTCCTTCTCCTTTACTAAAATTTCTTCAAATTTATTGGCAACATTTCTTGCCGTTTTTGTTTTCAAGGGTCTCACAAACGCATAACGCGAAAAAACATCCACACACACAAGTAAATAATGATATTGATTATTAAATCCTGACAAATTATTTAAATCAGCTAAATCAATACTCCATTGTGCATTACGTTTATAAATGTTAATACTTAATCGTTTATACTTTACTAATTTTCGACTATGTAACAAGTATGCTTCTTTTTGTTTTTCATTTAAACGTTCATGTTTTAATAAACGCGATGTTTTTTTAATTAGTTCTTTATCGGTTGTCTTTTTGGTTTGTTTTCCCATGTTTACTAAAAAAAATTAAAATAACATTTTTATCTAACATTGTTTGATACATCTCGTCTATGTCTACATCGTAATCATTCTTAATTAATTCTATATAATCAAAAGGAAACTCTTCTTTCATTTCATCTGCATATAATAAAACAGCCTCTTTTGCAGTTTTTTTTTCGCGATGCATAACCGCTATAACACATGACGTAGCTTTTCGTGACTAAAAAAGAAATTAGCAGCATGAAAGAACAGTTTCCAAAAGATGTTCTATAGGTAAATCTGACCCATTACATATAATCATAAGTTTGATTTTAGCAGCCTCAATTTCACCCCTACATTCGTTAAGATAAGTAAAATTATTATCCCCATTATAAAAACTTAAGGCATCATCAAACGTTTCATGATATTTCAACATACGATTTAGTATACTCTTAACCACATTACTAATTGTCACACTAAAATCAAGTTGTTGATTCAATCTACGAATATCGTAATACCATTGTCCAAAATTTACCTCGTTTGGCTCTTCTTCAACCACTATACGCTTACGCTTTGCTTTGTTGAGTGTCTTTGCTGGAGTTTTTGCAACCAATGGTGTTTCCTTGGCGGCTTTCTCGTTTTAATTTCTCCACTTCCAAAACACTAAGAGGTGAGGGTCGGATTGCAGATTCATCATCCACATCCATCTTGTGCTGAACATCTTGTAGAAATTGATTTATCACTTTGGCAACATGATTCCAATCTTCCTTTTTGGATAAATAACATTTTGCTCAAGCTTCAACCCAATCAAGGTTGTTGGAATCGGATGTTTCTGCTGCAACAGATGTTGTCGCAGTTTCATCCTCATCTCCTTCAGGGACGTCACCATCCACCGTATCCAGGGACTTCACAGCATTTAACCGACAGATTACCAACCCCCCAAATTTGCTATCTTTCATAATCAGCCGAACCGGATTCTTCTGGTAACCTTTGGTTTCAGATATAAAAAAATAATGCTTTCCACCTTTCTTCGATTTTCTGATACATTCATATACGAAGCGTAGCCCTTCGTGGCTCATCATCATTTTCATTTTATAGAGATTTTTATCTCCCGCTTGGGTTGGCAATACCGAAGCAATACAACATTTTTCATTATATCGCTCATACCACACAAATTTTTTTGTTCTATTCTCATAACTATACCCAATTCTTTAATATGGGTAGCGTTACGTTTCTCATATAACTCTAGAACTTGTGTGTCTGCCATTGTGTGTCTTGTTTAGCAAAATGGGTGAATTTGTATCTTTACACACACGTTTTATAGACCGCATATAATAATTTGGACATGAAAAATCTATATGACCATATAAGGTCACAATAGAATATGCGGTGACTAATAATTTCAGACAACCCCTAATATCTGTAAAATAATCGTCATCACTTATCATAACCAGCATTAAATCACATAAGCCTGTTTCATTTTCATATTTTTTTAAAATATCACAAATTTTAGAAAAATACACACTTATATACGCACTTATTTCCTCATTAAATTTTCCCCTTATAGGCTCACTTTTAATTTCACCAAGTCCGCTCCAGCGTTCAGTAACCCACACGTTCATTGCAAAAACTGACCAGACAGTACATCGGTTTTATACACATGCATATATATAAGTAAAGGTTTAACACTAGTGTCTAAAAACACACCTTGTTCTAAACATTCTTTCATTATTATACTTTTATTTTTTGCATAACATCTCCCGTACATCGCAGCAATATAATGAAGAAAGTTACTTGATAGTGTCAGTGTGCGCATGTCTGTTGAGGGATGCACACTACCGTCAACCAGATTAAAATACTCAACCACTTCTTGATCTTTTACACTGTTCTAGATAAGTGTCACGTTATAATATGTAGCGTATCTTCTAGTCATTTTTGCTTGTAAATGAATATTGCACGGGTAAAGAGTGTCAAGATGATATATGGTAAAGCTGGGTAAAATGAACCGATATTCTTGCTTCTTTTGTTTTTCAAAATGCAACAAAACACGTTTTTTACTTTCAAATGCCATAATCATAAAATGGTGTTGGTTTTTTACCAATAATTACTTCTTCCAAAAAACTAAAAACTGATTTGTCTAAATATATGCCTTTGTATAAATAGATTTCAAATAGTACAAGACGTACTATTTTAAAACTCTCCAGCGTATCGTTAGAAGCTAACGTTATCAGATATATAAATGTAGAGCCCAAATCTTGATGCATATGTAATACATATTTTCCATTGTGAACAAAATTTCGTATTTCCTTTAGCAATGAAAACGTATTTCATTTTGACCCGATAGTATATCCATGTTGGTACACGTATTCTTCCTCGCCAATTAATTTTATGGTGACATAATAATCTACAGTGTGAAATTTATCTTTATAATATATGCTAGCTCTTGTTTTTAACAACCCCATCACACATAGGTAGATATTTGTGCTTAACTCATTAAGCGGCAATGCGCCCTGAGATTGGCAAGGGGGTAAGCGGCAATGCGCCCGAATGCGCCCTAACATGACTCCTTAACTTGCGGGCATGATATTTGAGCACGTGTTTATCGGGTTGCCTAGCAATGATACGAAAATAGAACGTGAAATTCAAGCTTTTCAACGGTGTATCATGCAAGAAAATCGGTCAGAAACTCGCAAAGTTTTTCAAGTTTAAAACCTTAGTTTTTCAAAAATAATGAACAATGGCGATACTGTTGCAAAGAATGGTTTTACAGCAAGTTTTAAAAGCGAAGAAAGAAGAGGTTTTGGAATCATCTACAACGAAAATTTGGCATGAAAGGAAAGCGAATGTATTGACGTTTTGGGGCCAAGTTCTTCTGTGAACCATGCGCGAGATTTTCAGCCAAAATGATGAGGATTTCTCCAAACTTTATTAAAAATAGAAGTCGGAAATCACAAGAAAGATGAACACGGAACTCAAGTGAGCAGATACGATATTTTTAAGGGTATTTTTGAGTAGAAATATGCGATCAAACACTCACAAAATTCAACCGCATTAAAGTTGGTTGAATC